ATGGGTGGACGCAGACTTACCAGTCTTGGCACAGTCGAGTGTAATCCAACTGGCACTTGAAATTGTGTTGAAAAGGTTTCCGTCGAAGCAGTCTTCTTTTATTTGATTGTTTTTTAACTCTCTTGGCCAGCGAAAACGCTTAATGCACACAGGGGACTGTTTTTAAGTTGACTGAAGTTGGATTCTCGAAAAACAAAGTGCTCGAAATCCCTGTTTGTAAACTCCTATTTTCTCCTTCACTGACGCACAAGTTCAAAAACCTAGCTGCCTTATATTGAAAAACAAATTTACAAGGCTTTTCATTTCTGCTCGACAGCTGTCTTAATCACAGTGATGAGTCTTGGCTCGATTAAGCGGGCTGTAAAAATAATACTTTAACGAAACCGAAATTTGCCTGCAAAATAAATTCCTGCTATTCCGTAGTACAATGAGTTTAACAAAAAATTTCCCATGTGTTTTGTTTCGTTTGCACACTACTGAAGAAATGATATATTTGCTGTGCATCATTTATATCCCTAAAACAGTGTATGTTTACCGTCGGCTTCGTTTACCAAGGTAGAATTGAATGCTAAGCACTTCCTATTCCGGTCCTCCGGTGACTTATATTTAAGCCGTTTTTCTTTTTTACCATTAAATCTACTTTACCTCAAACCTTAACACAATTTAAATGATATTTCAGTCTTTGGACGCAGATTTTGTTTCTACTTCACGTACGACTCACCGACGTTCGATCGAACGCATCCGCATTGATATTTTAATATTCCCGTAGCAATTCCGACACAGTTTGTTTTGGACTAAGACGCAAAAAGGTCTCGTCCTTTTTGACTCGTGTTCGTACAGTAGACGAAAGTATGTGTGACCCCCTTCTTATTGCCCCTATGTCGACTTGTATTTTTTGACTGTGTTTAGCTCTAATAATTAATTAACTACTTGGGTAACACAACCTTCCAATTCATTAGCATTCTCTTGCACTCTCCTGGCCTAAACGCGTTTATTGACAAACTTAAAACATTTTTTTCATTATACCAGCGCAAAATTACTCATTATAAAGAAACTACGTTAAGGTTTCCATTCCTGAACTATGAATCTGCCCACGAGAGACAGCGATCCGATTAAAAAAAATGCGAACAGAGCCAATGTCATGAAGTTTTTCGTTCTGGACTTTACGGGTCTTTCCTAACTTTTCTAAATAAGTGCTACTGTAACAATTAGTAATAAACCAAATGAAATTTTAAGAGGTGAAGGACCTAGCGTACGAAAGCCTTGTAAAGGACGCTCCTTGAAAACCTCTCTGGCAAGATGCGTTAATTGTCATGGCCCAGAAAATTGCCAACTGTTCGGCCTGCCTCGGCCTTTCTCATTACTGACAATCGGGCT